ATGAACAGAGTGGGGGGTTGGGTGCAGGGGGGTGTGGGGGGATGGAGGGAGGTGGCGGCTTGAGCGCCACGGTGGCCCTTGACTCACCGTAAAACCTTGGGGCAGGTTCCGGTCTGTCTCCGAACCTCAGTGTTCCCTTCTGTGAAATGGGGTGATCGTCATTCTGATCCCATAAGCGTGTGGGGAGGACTCATTGACTTAGAAAGGGACAGCTCTTGGCTCAGCGGTTGAGCATCGACCTATGAACCAGGAGGTCAGGGTTCGATTCCCAGTCAGGACACAGGCCCGGGTTTCAGGCCTCCTGTGCTGGCCCGCAGGCCATGGACTCCCTTTGAAGCCATGTGGCCCAGTGACAGGGCTCAGGGACCAGGTCCCATAGCAGAGCGACCATGTCTCAGACCCACACTCTCACCTTCCTCTCCAGGTGCTGGGAATGGGGGACGCAGCCGCCCCAACCCCCCACCTGGGTGCGGGGCCCGGCGTTGGCCGAGATGAGGAAACCCAATGAGGTATAAAATAAAAGCGCCCTGCCAGCCACAGAAATAACGAGAAGGCTCCCGCGGGGCCGATGCGAGGAGGCAGGAGGACATAGCAGTAGGAGTGTGTCAAGGTTAAAAAAAACGCATCCACCTCTTTTTCCTTTTTCTATTTTTTTCCCCCCCGCTCTGGTGCGGTGGCTATGAAAACGATTCTTTCGATTGTACAGTTCATTGAATCAGGTAGAAACTTGGGAAGTAAAAGACTTGACCGTTGGGCAAAGTGGGTTTCCGTCCTTGGCCACCAAAAACGGCAGATGATGGTAAGGGAGGCGGCGAGGCTGCTGGCGGGGAGAGCCCCCAGGGCGCTCCCATATGAACGTGCGAGGGTGTGTCGTCAGCAAACAGCGTTACTTCAGCAAACGGGATTAGAGCGGCCCAGCTGGCACCGAGGCCAGTGCTCTAGGCCGTGCAGAGGGGGACGCGGTCGGAACCGGACTGAGTCGGGGGAATCTTTTTTAAAAATATTTTTTTATTGACGTCAGAGAGGAAGGGAGAGAGAGAGGCATCAATGAGGACAGAGAATCATGGATCGGCTGCGTCCTGCACCCCCATATTGGGGATCGAGCCCGGTTTTTCCGGGCCCCCGGATTCCCCAAATTCTGAATACAGGGTCTGGCTTTGCTGGCAGCGCATTCTTCATCTTTTATTTTTTTTTGATCCTCACCTGAAGATATTTTCCCATTGATTTTTAGAGAGAGTGGAAAGGAGAGGGAGAGACAGAGAGAAACATGGATGTGAGAGAGACACATCCATTCGTTGCCTCCTGCACACGCCCTGACCAGGGCCCGGGCTGGGGAGGAGCCTGCAACCAAAGGGCCCTTGACCGGAATCAAACCTGGGACCCTTTGGTCCGCGGATCCTCACCTGAAGATATTTTCCTGTTGATTTTTAGAGAGAGTGGAAAGGAGAGGGAGAGACAGAGAGAAACATGGATGTGAGAGAGACACATCCATGCGTTGCCTCCTGCACACGCCCTGACCAGGGCCCGGGCTGGGGAGGAGCCTGCAACCAAAGGGCCCTTGACCGGAATCAAACCTGGGACCCTTTGGTCCGCGGGCTGGCGCTCTATCCACTGAGCCACACTGGCCAGGGCTGGCGGCACGTCCCTTAGAGCCGTGGCCTGGGCCTGGTCCTGTGTTGAGGTCCCGGGGTCCACCCCGCGTCAGTGTGCATCGCGACCTCTGCGAGGGCCCAGCCGGAGGGGACAGGGGTTAGCTTTCCTGCAAGCGGCCCTGGGAGAGGCGGAGGGAGCCGGGGACTCGGAGGAACCGCCCCGCAGGCCTCCGCTCCTGCGGACTAATTACCGGCTGCCAATACCTGTCAGGGATCCTTGGACACTCGGGGGGGGCCTGTCAGAAACGGGGTGCTTAGCATTCAGGCGGCGGCATCCACTTAGGGGGCTCGGGGACACCCCTTCCAGGTTCCTAATGAGGCCGGCGCGGCGGGAGCGGGACGGAGGCGGGAAGCGCATCGCGATGGACAGCGAGGCCTCGGGCAGCGGGACCCCTGAGGAACCGGGTCTGGGTAGCGGCGCGCTAGTCAGATCTCCGCTGAAACCCCTGTGTGTGTGTGTGTGTGCGCGCATGTGCACATGTGTGCACATGTGTATGTGCGTGCACGTGTCTGTGTGCGTGTCTGTGTCCATGCGCACATATGTGCGCGTCTGTGTGCACGTGTGTGCATGTGTGTGCTTTGTGTGCATGTGTGTCTGTGTGCACCGGCGTGCGTGTGCGCGTATGTGTCTGCGCACACACGTGTGCATGTATATGTGTGTGTGCGTGTGCACGTGTGCGCATACATGCCTGCACACACTCATTCTTCTGTGTGTCGTCCAAACTCATGTTGTTTTCTTCCAAAGGAAACAGTTGACGGCAGATTTGTGAAAAGTGTTTCCTACTGCACCTTCCGGAAAGGAGGTGCTGCCAGCGCTCCTGACCCTCCGGCCGCAGTGGGCTTTCCCGGCCTGCGGTCCCCTCCCTGGATTCCGGGAACAGCACCCGATTCCCACGGAATCCACCCTGCGGCTCTGAATGGCTACGCCGTCCAGTGGGGTCACATGACAGGGCCGGCCAATGAGTGCAGGCCCTCTCTTAGCGGCAGTGATTGGAGTCATGTGACTCCATCAGCTATTCCCCCACTTGTTAAGCTCAGGAATTTTATTCGTGAGAAACGCAGCATTTGGTTAATTTTGTTCTTCCGCTTCCACCTCTAAGTGAAATCACGTGGTATTTGTCTCCCTCTCTCTGCCTGTTTCACTCAGCACAGCGCCCTCTCGGTCCGTCCTCGCTGTGGCAAATGGTAAGACTCCGTTCCTTTTTGGCGGCCGAGTAATATTCCGTTCATGTATGCACCACCTCTGCTTTCTCCACCGTCCCTGCTGTACACCTGAAACTAACATAACAGTGTGTGCCGGCTGTATCTAGAAATGAAATAAATGGAAAATACATAAAAATCTAAAGGAAGCACCCTGGTCGCTGCCAGGCCGAGCGGGAAGCCGGCTCTGCCCCCGCCGGGTCCCTCCTGCTGATCAGAGGGGGGAGCCGGCACTGAGCACCAGCAGGGCCTGGGTACCAGTTGGGGGGTCTGGCCGGAGTGGGGGGTCCCGGGAGCAGGGCTGCGCCCACCAGGCAGGGAGGCTGTGAATCTGAGCCCCCTGCCGGGCCCGGTG